CGTCTTGCATCTAGTCATCCGGTCAGACTTCGGAACTGTGCGGATGGATACAGTTCAGAATGGGAGGAGAGAACACAGCGGGCTTTGTTGCGGTAGAGCGAGAGGAAAACCTTGGATCGTGCCTGCGGAGCAGAAGAGCGTTCCCGCTCCCTCGTTCGCTACGATAACAGCTGAGGAGAAGCAGATGTGGGAGCAAGAGGCAATTATGAGCCTGCGGCCAGTCGATCAGAAGCGAGGGAGGGGGACATAGAGGATGTGGTTAAGGCATTGCTTCTAACTGCCGAGGCTGCGAAACCACACACACGCACACAATCATGTTTGAGATCTGTTGTTCCCTCCTTTTTTGGATGTTTCTTTTATTTAAATGGCCGTTTGACTCTCATCTTCATGTTGCCGCATTTCCTGTGTGGAGTTTTCTCTGCATCTGTCTGGAATATCTTATCTTAATTAATGTAAAAAGTCGCCAGTACCTGTCTGCATAGTTCGTTTTGTGATCATTTGGGTCCATTTTGTGGATCATCATGTCCTTGACCCAACAGAAGAAGGCAATGCATGGCAAAGAAACCCAAATTAGATCTCGATCTGTATCATCTCAGTTGTTTAGATAGGAATAGGATGAGAACAAATTGAGACTTTTTAGAGCTTCCCCCTTCTTAGATTTTTCTCCTGAGAAACCGTTATCTTGTTTAGATTGCATTATGATCCTAAATAGTTTAACCAAAAATAGCCTCACCCTAAGGTTGCCCAATATGTAGATGAGTTTGTTTCTTCATGGGAGCAGATTTGGAGAAATGTATTATTACGTAACTTGCTCACCAATGGATCCTCTGCAGTGAATGGGTGCCGTCAGAATGAAAGTCCATCAAGATGTTTTTAGTACATAATAATGCTTTCTCCAGTGAAAAAGTCCATCCCCTGTTGTCCTCTCACATCAAAATCCACCCACATATCTGTTTAGAGCTGTCTTGGCTTGTAAACAGTGCTTGATCTGTGCAGATTTCTCTCTTAATTCAGATGATTCGGAACCTTTTCACGGGTGAAAGCAATATTATTGATAGTGGACTTGTATTTTAGCCAGAAGCAATGTTTCTTTTAAATGTATTTAATCAGCCGTTTAAGACTCTCATTCTGACGGCACCCATTCACTGCAGAGGATCCAATGGTGAGCAAGTGATGCTAAATATGCTAAATTTATCCATATCTGTTCCATTGAAGAAACACATTGGGTGAGTACATTTTCTGCCCCTTTTAAAACAACAAAAAGTGTCCCATTATGTTTATGGACAATTTGGAGTATTAAAATAATACATCTGGGGATTAAAAAATTAGCTTCCAAAAAACCAGAAGCACACTCTTCAAGAAAAAGTTACACAAAGATGTTAATTGAGTTTCGAATTGTAAAGCAATAGATATACTGTTGAAAATGAAGACAAAAATATTTGGACACTTGGTAGTTACTCAGCTGAGACATCTGTGTAAATGTGAGGAGAACTGACTTAATACTTCCACTAAAAATCAACACAAGTTAACTTTGAAAAGTGAAGTTTGTTCATGCATCATGTTTGCAGTTGCCACTTTCATGTTTTGTTATCTATTTATAACGACATGCATGAAGTATGAAATGTGTCTTTAGTGTCCAAATACATATTAGGCTCACAATATCTAGGGCTGACACTCCAGAAACGACTCTTTTACGACAGGCTGCTCCATGCTCCTCTTTGTCACATCAGAAGCACGCTGAATTAAAGAGAACATATGGAAATGATTATGTACTGTACTGTATAGATTGAATCTAAATAGAAAGTAAGTGTTTTTGCGCCGTCACTCGGGCTTCTGTAGCCCACGTTACCCTACTAGTCTGTGATCTGTTGCATGTCTTGTTTTAGTCCGTTTGAAGAATGAGACTTTCCAAAGTGCTATTAATAACAAACGACAGGCCTCGCCTCTGGTCGACACGCACCATCTCTGTTTTGAAAACCGCATGTCTTTTGTGCGAGGCCCCTGAAAACACTTGAAAAAGCGCTGGATGTTGGAGGTTAAGCAATCAAGACACATTTATGGGATGCGTTTGGCTCCGGCACTCATGGGAATGTGACCTGTAGCTGCGTAGGAGACGGCGCTCATTCAAAGCAATAAGGAAGAAATGTGTGAAGTATGTAGGTGTGTGTCCCTTATTGCGTAAAACGATTCATGAATGCCAATTGTCTCTTTCCTTTTTCGTGGAACAAGAGGCGGTTAAATCGTAGAATTGTGGGGGAGGAGAAACTGTAAATTTCAGTAAAATTAACATTTGTGGAAGAAAAGAGAAGTACGAAAAGGGAAGCATATGCTAATAATGCCTAATGACAGCAATATCGGAGTTTTGAGGAAGTGACTCACCCAGATGACCTACTCATCCATTTTGACATCATCTTTCTGTAAATGCCACATTTGGATAACGTAGGCTGTGTTTATATTCCAAGATTGTAAGTCGGTTACTTTATGGACTTTCCTGCAGGTTTGACGTATATGTAACCGGAAGTAGCCATTTCTTCTAATGCCCCTCCTACGCTTAGTTGTCTTTGTTTAAAGTTCATTGTAAATGTTTTGTATTTTGACTATCATACTGTTTAAATTGGGCCCAAATTAGGTACGTTCTGCCACGTTCAAGCTCTTGACACGCTTATTTTAGGTATGATTAATCGTTCTCGCGTATAGTGGCATAGGTCAGAGGTTTTCATATGGGGTCATGGGAGGAAAAATGGGCTGTTGATATAAACTTGGTTAAACCAAAAATTTAATATTTTAATTAAACTGAGGAAATAAAGCAAATGCTGTGGAATTTTAAATAATTTAATATGATTTAAAATACAAAAAAGAAATAAAAATCAAATCTTCATACAGTTTTGTAACAAAAATAATATAAATAATAATAAAAAATGATAAGTAAAATAAATACAGACTGAAACGTATAGAATAATATAGACCTTATAGACACCTTCAACATTGATGATAATAATAATAATAAGGAATGGATTTCAGAAGGATCATGCAGTGTTGCAGTTTTAAGTCAGTTTTAAGTAAGTAAAGCATTACAATATTGCGTCGAAGTAACTTATTGCTTTACTAATTGCGAAAAGTAATTAATTACGTTACTTTTGCATTACTATTTGTCAACTGAGCTGGGCTTGCTTGTTTATTTTTAATAACAAAAACCCACAAGTTATATTTTAGGCAACTGTAAAGGCCAAAAGTGAAATTAATAAGTGTCAGCCTGAAAGAAATGCCTCTGCCTATGCACTTCACTCCTGATTTCTCTCGACACGTGCACAGGAGAGCCGTCAGTGAATAAATAGGAAAACAAAGTGTTACTTATTTGGAAAAGTTGCTCAAATATTTTCTTGTAAATGCTTTACTCGTTTAAAAAAGTAATCTGATTACAAGTAACAAGTGTGTTACTTGTTAGGCATTACCCCCGACACTGGAGTCATGTGACACTGAAGACTGGATGAATGATGCTGAAAATTCCGCTTTGCATCACAGGAATACAGGTGCATCTCAGTAAATTAGAATGTCGTGGAAAAGTTCATTTATTTCAGTAATTCAACTCAAATTGTGAAACTCGTGTATTAAATAAATTCAATGCACACAGACTGAAGTAGTTTAAGTCTTTGGTTCTTTTAATTGTGATGATTTTGGCTCACATTTAACAAAAACCCACCAATTCACTATCTCAA